GGACAGAGGTGACCTTCCTGGCTCCCGTCACACGGCCAGACAAGGTGGTGTGTGTGGGCATGAATTACGTGGACCACTGCAAGGAACAGAACGTGCCCGTGCCCAAGGAACCCATCATCTTCAGCAAGTTTGCCAGCTCCATCGTGGGGCCCTACGATGAGGTCATCCTCCCTCCTGAGAGCCAGGTCGGTGCCTCCCCATGGCCCTCTCAAGTCACAGGGGCCCATCACAGAGGCGCAGCACCCAGCTTACAGGAGCCACCTGCAGTGCATTAAACAGAAACTACAGGGGGTTATACAGTAATAAGCCTGGCCTCAGGAAAAAAAGTTAAGAGAGCTTTCCGTCATTTCTATTTGGATTACAAAAGTAATATACTTTCATCGTAGGGACTTATAAAATTCAGCATGCACCTTCTAAGAAAAAGGACAATGTCCTACATGACCATAATACCTTTATCACAACCAAGAATATTACCATGAATAACCTCTGATACAAAGTCCAACTGGGAGGTGACTTTCAGTTTGGGTACTGTTTTGTTGTTCGCTGACCCAGGATCAAACAAGGTCACACATTGCATTTTGCTATGTCTCTGGGACCTGTAATCTACAGATCCACAGGAATCCATGGACTTTTTCCTCAAAGGGCCTGTTAGTAAATATTAGAGTTTGAATGCCAGTAGTGTCTGTTGCAACAGTTCAACTTTGCCACTGCAGTGTGAACACAGTCATGGCTGATACATAAATGAATGAACGTGGCTGTGTTCCAGGAAAGCTTTATTTACAGAAACTGGCAGCAACCTGGATTCACCCACAGGCCGTACCTTGCTGACCTCTGTCTCTGACCAACAGCCTACTGTCATTTTCTTTCCCTTTTTTTTTTTTTTAAATGTTTTTATTGATTTCAGAGAGGAAGGGAGAGGGAGAGATAGGAACATCAATGATGAGAAACATTGATCAGCTGCCTCCTGTACACCCTCCACTGGGGATCGAGCCTGCAACCCAGGCATCAAACCGGGATTTCTTGGTTCATAGGTGGATGCTCAACCACTGATCCACCCTGGCCGAGCCCGTTTTCTGTCAGCATGTCCCATAGTCTGGACTTGTCTGATTGTGTCTTCATGATCAGATCCAGGTTAAACATTTTTGTCGAGTTCTACACAAGTGTCTCAGTCCATTCGGGCTACGATAACAAAATATACTGGGTGGCTTATAAACAACATTTATTTTTCACAGTTCTGGAGGCTGGAAGTGCAAGATCAAGGCACTGATAAATTTGTGTCTGGGAAGGCCATTTCCTGGTTCCTAGAAGCTGTCTTTCCCTGTGTTCTCACATGGTAAAAAGGGACAGGGAGCTCTCTGGGGTCTCTTTTATAAAGGCATAATCCTACTCATGGGGGCTCTGCCCTCATGACACCTTCCAAAGACCCCACCTCTGAATACCACCACATCGAGTGAGAGGTAGGTTTTAAGACATGAATTTGGAGGGACACAAACATGCAGTCTGTAGCACAGATGTATCCTCACACTGCGTCCCACTGGGAGACTCCTGTCAGGTGCTTAAAGTTTGATCACTTGGTTTACTGGCTGTTCATTAGATCTCTCCATTGTGAAGGTGCATTTCTCTGGTCTGGTACTAAGCAGTCTGTAGTTGTTTGAGACCATGGGACTATCTTATTGCCCCACTGATTCATCTAAGGATTCCCTGGTCATCCTTACCTTACTCTATATGCCCTGGGGGTTAGAAAAATGTGATTTCTCACCATGCCTTCTATTCTTTATTAGCTGGCATTCTGTGAACAAGAGATGCCTTTTTTTTTACTCCACTCCTTTAGTATCATGAATTTGATTTTTATCCAACATGTTGTAATCCATCATTTACAGTTTTTACATGCAAATGATCTGTTTAGCCAGCGGGAGGTTCAGGTTGGCCTTCAGCCCCATCACTTTTTGAGCACTTCCTTGCTTTCTGTCTAGCACAGGCTCATTAGAATATTAGACCTGGAATTAGCCATTTCTCCAGGGAACCTGGTTCTTTCTAGTGGGGTGCAATGCTAGAGATCAAAGTCAGTGTCAGGTGTACTCATAGTAGCTTTGGACTATTCCAAAGAGCAGCCAGTTTAAAAAGTTAGATTGTTTCTTTTTTGTAGCACTTTGCTAAAATGGGAAAGGCTGATTATGTTTTCATTTTCTATGGCCTGTGTATTTTTGGGAATTGTTTTTTCAAGCCTTTTGCCCACCTTTATTTTGGCATGTTGATATTTTTATCATTTAAATGAGTTAATGCCTTAAAGCACTAGAATGGCGCTTGGCACACAGTAGGATTAGCTATTATTACTTGGTATCCATCCTTTTTTGGAAGTATTAAGAGTGACTTTTTAAAATATATAGATATAGATATAGATGTATACTTGTATTGATTGCAGAGAAGGGAGAGGGAAAGAGATAGAAACATTAATGATGATAATCATTGATTGGTTGCTTCCTGCATGCCCCCTGCTGGGGATCGAGCCCACAACCCAGGAATAGGGCGTGACCAGGAATCAAACTGTGACCTCCTGGTTCATAGGTTGATGCTCAACCACTGAGCCATGCTGGCTGGGCAAGAATGACTTTTAAATTCAGTCCCCAGACTAGCGTTGCTCCTCTAGTCACCAGGGAACTGTACCTGCATCAGTGGTGCTGCCTGCCATTGCCCAAGGTTTATGGGTGTACAAGTCACTCCCCCTCCCCCTCTGGTTCATTTTATGACTGGGCCAGCAGTTGACCCCACTGGTGGGGGCCCAGGCCCCAAGACATGCATGCAGTTCCTCAGCACTGGGAGAGGCCCAGGGCCAGGCAGTTTACCGCTCCTTTCCCACTGCAGGAGGTGGACTGGGAAGTGGAGCTGGCCGTGGTCATTGGGAAGAAAGGCAAGCACATCAAGGTGAGGTTGAGTGGGTGGTACCCTCTATCCCTGGCCTTAGGAAGTGGTTGGCTTGGGCACTTGCCTTGTTCCTGGCCGAACACTTTTGGTGAGCTCTGGCTACTAGCCTGGGATAAAGGCTTTGTTATGGGGGCTGGTGTCACTGTTATCTAACCTCTAATCTGGCCAAATCCCCTGCCCCCATAGGCCACAGATGCCATGGCTTATGTGGCTGGCTTCACTGTGGCACATGACGTAAGTGCTCGTGACTGGCAAATGAGACGCAATGGAAGGCAGTGGCTGCTGGGAAAAACCTTTGACACCTTCTGTCCCCTGGGTCCTGCTTTGGTGACCAAGGACAGTGTAGCAGGTACGTCTTGGACAACACCCATGACGACGCATCTTGCTCTGCTCGGATATGTCAGAGCAAAGAAATAGCAACGTTCAGGAAAGGGGAGTGTGGAGACAGTTCAATGTGGAGCCCCCTCCCCAGCTGCCTTTCACTGATTCCTTACAGAGCAAGTCTCAACCTGGGCTCAGTGGGCCTTCTTCCACATCCCCTCACCCTCTAGAGGACCACAGCCACAGAGGTGGTGAATCTGCATTCATCAAGCAAATTACAGGCAACAGTGTTCCCCTCATGGTGGTTAGGCTCTCTAGCTGCCACTATCAGGGAGTCTTTAGATTGGAAGGAAGCTAGGCTGGCCCTTGAGCATCACAGGGAATGGCTGGCACAAAGCCCATGCATTTTCCTGTCAGGGAGACAGGACCGACAGGACCTTGCCCAGCCACTGTGGCCAGGGCAACACTGGCTACCAGTAGCAAGGGCACCAGCTGCCAGGAAGAAAGGCCATAGTGCAGAGGGCAGAGCATAGCCATTTGGGTTGGGGTGTGTGTCCGGGGGGGTTAGCCATCAACAGTGAAGTTATTGTGTTTTGGCTGCTCTAAGAGGGTGTGTTTGTAAATGTGTGAAACAAAAGTTAAGATAAAAATGTGGTGAGCCAGGACACTTACTAGTGAGCCACCACCTGACAGGTGCAGGAGGCTCACTGCCCTGCTCCTGCAGTTTCCTTTTTGCATTACAGGTGCCGAGTCTTTTTAATTATTGTCGGCCTTTGCTGTGGATAGACGTCCATTTTTTAAGGCAAAATTGCCATTTTCCCCCTCATCCTGGAGGGTCTGGGACACATCCAGGTAGGGTTGAGGAAGAGGCCCAAGGTGGTGTTTTATGCATTTCAGATCCACACAACTTAAAGATCTGCTGCCGGGTGAATGGGGAGGTGGTCCAGAGCAGCAACACCAGTCAGATGGTGTTTAAGACAGAAGAGCTGATAGCCTGGGTCTCCCAGTAAGTGAGATGAAGCCCTGCCCCACCACAGCTACCTGCAGCTGAGCCGAGCCCTCCATCCCTGGCTGTGGCCCCTCAGCCCCTGGCCTCACCTGGCCCTTTTGCCTGCCCAGGTTCGTCACCCTTTACCCTGGGGACATCATCCTGACGGGTACCCCCCCAGGTGTTGGTGTATTCAGGAAACCTCCTGTCTTTCTCAAGGTAGGTTGGCTAAAAGGGGGAAAGGGAGAAGGACCCAGAGGCTGACAGGTGTGGCTCAGGCTTGAGAAACCCAAGCCTGTGTATGTATGTGTAGATTTGTGTGTGTCAGACTAAGGACTGACAACCTGGCGACCACTCCATTGCAGAAGGGCGATGAAGTCCAGTGTGAGATTGAAGAACTGGGTGTCATCATCAACAAGGTGGTGTGATGGCTCCTGCTGCAGGTCCTGGACTTAAGAGGCGGGCATCCATTCTCACCGTATAGGGCAAGGCCCAGTGCTTGCCCCCTCATGGCTCCTCATCTAGGTGTGTGTTGAGGGCGGGGGGAGCCTCTCCTCTTCAATAAACTTCTCAGACTAAGTCAGTAGCTTGGCTTCTGCCTGTCTTTTAAGGTTTGTTTCAGGGATCAAGATAGGACATTGCCACAGGGTGGGGAAGGAGAGCAAACACTACATACCTCAAATCACACTGCTGGGCTTGGAAAGAGGACTTGTCCAGTCCAGGCCTCTCGTTTATCACACCAAAGGACGGAGAAAGCAAGAGGCAATGAGACAATCAGACCTCAATGATTTTATGGGCAGTCTCCGGCTCCAGGGCTTGGTGTGTTCTGGGGCTGCGAAGTCTCAGCACAGGCTTAACCCACAGTTCTAGCCACAAATGAATTGCTGGATGAACTGTTCCAGCTTCTCCTGATTGTCCTGTCTGGCAAATGTAGGGGATAGGTGGAGCATGGGGCCTGCAGGGCTGGGCTTCTGCTGCAGCACCTGTGCCATGAAGAAGGACTGTGAGCACTCACCATGGGGAAACCTGCAGTGAGACCTCTGGCCCCTTAGGCAATAGGGTTTGAACACAATGCAGCCTCTTACACCTCCCAGTAGAATAAAGTGGTGGTTTGGGAGACCAAGGACAGGGAAACCATCCCATCTCCAACTCCTGTCACACCTGTTCTTGGGAGACACTGGGGAAGACCCAGGGTGGGCATAGATGGGCTTCCCTGAGCAGCTCTAGCAAGATGGAGGCAGGGGGCATAGGAGGAGGGTGAGAATGGCTCCGCTCACCCCCAAATCTCTGAAGGTCCAGACAGCTTTGATGGCGAGACTTCGATCCGCACACTCTGGTGAAAGAAAGAAGTTGAGCTCTAGTGGGTACAGAGAGCTACTGGCATACGCATCTCTTTTGTCAAAAGAAGGAACCACCCAGAGCAGGGCTCAGACTGCACCTAAAGGCCTTTCTACTCCAGCCCTCCTTCCTGGAGTGGGGCTGTCACTGCCCAGTAGAGGGCAGCAACCACTAGCAAGCCCCTGCCTCCTGAGTGCCACCTGGCTGCTGGGGACTCACCAAAGAACCCGTCCTCCTGGGCAGTGGCCTGCAAGAACTGGAACAGCTGCTCCACGTAGCCCGACTCTGTGGGGCAGAGGACACTTAGGCCTGCTGGCACAGGCACAGCCTAAGCTCTCAGCCCCTCCCTAAGGATGGCCAGGAGAATTCGGGCCTCACCCGTGTCAGGCAGCTGGCCCTGGTGGAGAAAGGTGGCAGCCTGTGCGAAGGCCTTGAGCAGCGGGTTAAGCAGGCGGCACAGGAAGAGGAAGAAGTCGGGGCAGCGAGACTGCTGACTGAGCTGGAGGGGGACAGACCAGGTCAGGGCAGCTCCCACTGTCTCCCCTGCCTCCTTCCCCAGTGGCTTCTCCCAACGTACCCTGAAGTACCGGCCCTCAGCCTCCTCGAAGTCATCGCTGTCACTGTCACTATCAGTAAAGTCCCCACTCTGTTTCCACAGCAGCTTGGCCCTCAAACGCTGTCGCCCTGTGTCACAAGCCTGCCGGGAGCCTGGGGTCTGGGAGCCGGAGGAGCCATTGGTCTCTGTCAGGCTGGCCAAGATTCAGCCCTGAGCCCCCAGATCAGGTACATGGCAGACCAGGCACATGGAGGAAAACCAGTAAAAGCAGACCTAGGGACCTCAAGAGGCCTCTTGGGACCACACAAGACCTGCTGAGCCAACTTGCAGGGTGAGAGGAAATAGGCGCCCACCCTCAAGGTCCACGGCCCTGTGGATAAGTTTGTGGGGGCAGGAAGAGTGCAGAGACCCTCAGTGGTACAATTGTGCAGCCCTGTCATGATAGCTACATGGGCCCAGGGCTGGGATGGTCCACCAAGTCCCAAGGCATAGAATGGCAGAGGCAGGGGCTCTGTCTTCAGCGGCCCTCCTACCTCCTCAGCAACCAGAAGCCCACATTGGATGAGACGGTCCAGTACCTCCTGACAGTAGCAGTAGGAAGACTGGCAAGGCTGGGGAGAAAGGCGTCCATGTAGCTTCAGGAGAGCCAGGCAGGGCTTAAGGGCAGGGGAGGGGCAGGCACAGCCCCTCCTATAACTGAAGGGGTGCCAGGCCCAAGTGGGTCGGTGGGAGGCCTGACCTGCAGCAGCAGCATGTCCTGTGGCAGCAAATGCAGCAGCAGCAGGACCTGGCGGTACAGCTCGTTCTGGCTCAGCAGCTCGATGCCCTGCAGCTCCCAGGGCCCCTCTGGTGGCACCTTGCTTGCCAGCAGTGCCCGAACTGCACAGGCTAGAGAGGGGGCCAGGCATGAGGAGGAAGCCATCCCCTAATCTGACACCCTACCCATCCCTGAGCCCTCAGGACTCACCACCCAGGGCCTCGCTCAGGAAGGCAGGCAGCAGCTGGGTGCTCAGGCGTGCCAAGTGCATGAGGCCTGGGCCGGGCCGAGTGACCACCAGCAAGTCCCCCTGGTGGATGCGCAGTAGAGCCACGTGTGCCCGCAGCAGGCTCAGAGTGTGCCGCACCAGGCACCGCAGCTGACCTGAGAAGCCCACGTCAAAGCCACGCAGCAGCGTTTCTTCTGTCAGCCAGGAGAACTCCCCCAGGAGCTGCGACAGGTACACACCCTGGTGGGCAGCACCAGGGCTGAGCAGCAGGGTCACATCCCTTCCCCAGCCACCCCCATCTCCCCCTGTCACACTGCCTACCTTCTGGTGCTTAAACAGCAGCAGCGTCGCCATAATGGCTGTGCTCATCACCGCAGAGCTTGCCACACTGGCTGTAGCCGGGATTGGGGGATGCTGGTCAGGGGCCTAGGTCCAGCAGCCGGTTCCATCACCCAATGTTTGGGCTAAGAACAGTCCTCCCCTGCCTCCCTGGCAGCAGCCTGCCTCCCCTACAACTCTACCCCAGGGAGTTGTGGCCACCCTCCCTGCCGGGTGCTTGGGGACCACCTTCCCAGTGGAGAACTGGCGTTTACCAAATGTATACGGAGACAGGCAGGGAGCCCAGGGACCTTCCCTGCCTTATAGGCCTACCCACCAACCCACAGTCTCTGCCACAGAGGGGCACCTAAGAAGACAGTAGTAATGACCATTTGTTAAGAGTCCCTCTGTGCCAGGCACTGTGTTAAGTCCCTCATGTGCATTGTTCCAGTCAGTCAGCCATTTACAGTGCAGATCAGAGAGGTGAAGCAGTGAACTTGAGACAGTGCCAGGGTGACCTTGGATCCAGGCCCCTGCACTCTGCACAACCCACACTCTGCAGCTCAGGCAGCCACCTGTGGGCACTCGCTAGGGGCTCCCTGTTCCCCCCGGTTGCCTCACTCCTCACATATCCCAGGTGGGCCACACACAAGGGAGGGTCAGGTACAGAAACCCACTTGGAATGGAGGGCCCCGAAAACCTGCTAACCCAGAGTGAAGGAACAGCTCAGGACCCTCCCCAAATGCCCAGACCTAGTTCCCCTCACCATTCAGGATGTGACGGCTCAGCCTCCTGACCAGGAGCTGGTCTTCTTCCTTGAGGGCCAGAAGGGGCCCAGTTATTGGGGTCCACTCCTGCTCCTTCTCAGTGTCTGGGACGACAGTACTGGGATAGAGACAGATCATAGGATGAGGGGAGCCAACCTAAAGACAATCTTGGGGAAGCCCAGAGCTTTCTCAAAAAAGGGTGTTTCCCCAGCCCAGCCCCAGGGCAGGGATGGTTCCCCAGCCCTTTCCAGCCCCTGCCATTTCCCACACTGAGATTAGAGGTAAGGAGGGGTGTCAGGCTGTTCTAGATGACCCAGAATATCTGATGAGAGGAGGCTGGAGCTGGTAACGTCTATGGGTATGTGTTGAAGGACTGCTTGCTGGGCCCCCGAGATCCACACCCTCCCCTGCCGCTATCCCTACCTTTGGCCCAGCACAATGGGCTGCAGCAGCTGCTCCATGGTCTGCCTGCTGCCCCAGCAGCTTCTTGAATTGATGGTGTATTCCTGCCCAGAACAAGACTCTCAGGTGGCCTACCTGCCCACCAGGACACCTGCACACAGCCCACGGAGGTAGGTGAGACACTCCCTGCAGTGGCTCTGAGGGCCAAGCTGCCAGAAGCCCCACGACAGACCACAGATCCTCCCAATTTTGCCCAACAGACATCATACCTGCAGGGAGAAAGGCTGGGCCAGGTGCACACGGGCACAGACCCGGGGGCCACAGCACCAGCCTCGCAGGCTTCGTAGGACAGCCAGAGATCCTGTCCACAGCCCCCGTGGGGCTGTGGCCTGCAGGAAGGAAGGGGCTAAGGGAGCTGGCTCACCTGGAGCAATGCTCTCTGCTCAACTTTATCTTTCAAACTGGTACATGACCATGACCTCTCCAAGCTCATGTTCGCATCCATGAAACGAGAAATCCCTCCCTAGTGGGGTCTTTGAGGATGAAATAGAGGATTTCTGTATCAGCCGGGCAGGCACCACAGGATGATGACTGTAGGGGGAGAATTCCTTTGCACCTCCCTGACCCTAGCGCTTAGGGGCACTCAGCCATAGGACATAATACATTGTGCCTCCTCTCTGGAGTTGGTGTCCACTTGGAGTCCCAAGTGACAGGAGGGTCTCACATGGTGTGTATCACATGCATCTGGAACCAGGTCATAGGTGATGGCCACCGGCACCAGCATAGCATCTTGGACAACACCCATCTGGACCGCCTGCACCACAAGTCCCAGCCAGGCCTGGCCCAGGGCTGACAGCCAAGGCCCCTGGGTCCCAGGGAGCTCTTCCAGGAAGATGAGCAGGGGCTGCCCACTGACCAGCAGCTGCTCCACAACCTGGAAGGGGTGGGGGGATGGTAGCAGAGGCAGGTGTCAAGGCCAGAGCAGCAACAGGCACTGATACCCTGGCCTGGGCCCCAAACAAAACCACTGGGGGCACTCACCGCTTGGACCACAGCCCTTGCAAGAATCCCTTCGGAGCTGTCCAGGGAGAGGTTGGCCTCTGGGGGCAGGAAAAGCGCCCCAAGCTTCCTCAGCAGAGCTCTGTGGGGCACAGGGCAGACAGAGCCTGATGAGAGAAGGGGCTCAGGAGATGGGACCAAGCAGGAGGCTAGAAAGAGCCTCAGTCCACCCAGGGCAGCCTGGGTCCTGCCAGAACATGCTGAAACCAGGTATGGCCCCAGAACCCATAGCTGACCATCTGAGCCCACAGGCTGAACTGGTAGAAGGTTGGGAACAAAGAGGCCAGGAAGAGGGCCTGGGGGTAGCTGCTGCCAGCACACCCCCATCCACATCCCCACATCCCCATGCATGTCTGGGGGCACAAAGCTTTTACCTGAGGATGGGGGAGCAGGCACATGGGTCCCAAGCCACACGGACCACGCCCAAGCCCTGGGAAAGCAGGACAAAGGGCAGCAGGAGCCCATCCAGGAGTGACTTGTGGGTAGAAAGGAGGACGAGCGGCGAGCCCTGCTTGGGGAGAGCCAGAGGGAAGTGCCAACCCGCCTCCACCCTGATGATGCAGGGAGCTGAAACCAGCCACAGAGTGACAAAGGGTTCAGCTGGGTAGTTCTTCCTTGGAGCACATTTCCCAAAAGGAGAGGAGCTCTGTCAACAACTTTTAAGGTAACGCACTGATGTAATGATTGTTAAGACCGTGACGAAAAGACATTAGAGGAAGCCCCCTGGGAGCAGAGCTTGAGACACGAAGAGATGGCCATCAAAGAGCAATGGCGTTTTCCCACCAGGCAGTGAGGCTGGTCCTGACTAAGGGCTCAGCCTAGCTCTGCTCCTGCCATCCCATCCCATCCCATCCCATCGTGAGGAGGGCTTACCGTCTGGGCGGCCTTGTGGACCATCTTCATGTGGCCCTTGTGGAGCTGCACGTTCAGGAAGAGGCAGTTCAGGAACCGCAGAACCACCCAGCTGAACAGCCTGGAGAGCAGCGAGGCCCCGTCTGAGGTGTGGCATGCACTGCCCATGACACAGGGCCCCGCAGCATCTCCGTGAGCCTCCAATACTGTCCCCACTTGACAGAAGAGGAAAGTGAGGCTCAGAGAGATTACAGAAACTGCTGAGTAGTAGAGAAAGCTAAGAGGTACTGGACTGGCAGGTGGGCCTGACACCACAGCCCATGCCTGTGAGATGCTGACACCCCCCCCAGGAAGACCTCATGGTGCAGCTGCTTCACATCAGCTTCAGAGCATCTCCCTGCCCCCGTTTACCCCAAAGGAGATTAGAGGACTAAGACTCACTCCAGGCATAGCCTGGCCGGCTCTTTGCAAACTGCTGGGAAAGGTGAAATAAAAAGGGAGGAGTTTGTGATATGAGAAGGAAAAGGGATAGTTGAAGGGGACTGGCTTAAAATGAGGGCGGGAGCATAGGTGCAGCTAGCCTGAAGATGTGCTGGACAAGCATCATGTCCTCATCTGATGGCACAAGATGGAGCATCAACTGACAGCGGGTCAGGATGAGAAAGACAGTCTGGATCGGAGCCTGTGCCCCTTGCAGAACTGCACTCAGAAGGAAGCAAAGCCACACAGTGTGTTCTTCTCTACCAATGTTTGGGTGCTCAGTACAGAGAAGGCAGGTACCTGGGTTCAAAGGTACCTGTGATTGTGCCCAGTGACTCCTTCACAGGGGCGCTATCATCATGAGGAGCCCTGGAATTGAAGCTGCACCAGGAGTAGCTGATAGTATAAAGGTGGCCAGGTCAGGGGACTGGACGTCTCAACAAAGTCAAAAGGATTTTTATGTGGAGGTGGTCACAGTCACCAACCTCCTCTACTCTCTATCCTTCCCAGTTATCCTTTTCAGTTCTGTCAGGACAGCTGAGTCTGACACACACTTCCCTGCACCCTTTTCCCTCCGTAACTCACTCATCCTCTGGCTTAACTTTAACCATCATCGTGTGCTAAAGCTTTGCAAACGTATATCCCTGGTCTCAGCCCTCTTCTGAGTTCCAGACTCACATAAACAAATGCCTCCACCAGCATGTCAGGTGTCTGAAACTCTGTATCCAAACATCCTTTGTGGGCCAAACACACTCCTCCCAAACCCGCACCCTCCATCCACACCACCAGGTGCTTGACCAGAAAATGGCTCTCTCATGAGTTCTCCCCTTTCCCTCACTGTCCCACCCTGACCTCCAATCCATCAGTGAGTCCTGTTAGTTTCCGATTGGTCTCTCAGTCCATTTTTCCAACCTCTACTATCGCTTCCCATCAAAGCCATCACCATGTCTCACCTGGACTAACAAAACAGCTTCCCAGACAGTCTTCTGATCTCTACTCTTGATCTCAATTAATCTTGTTGTCATTCCCTACTTTCCATTAGTTGTCACTGCACTTAGAAGTCAAATACAAACTCCCTGTATGGCCCTGTGTATCTGGTCCCTTCTACCTCTGATTTCATCTTCAACAGCTCACTGCCAGCTTCCAGCTACCACAGCTTCATGAGCAATCCCGGCCCTTTTCTGTGGCCATAGCTCATGCTCTTCACTCTAGTGGGACTGTTGGTCCCATCCTTGCACCCCTTCCTCCAAGGCTGGCTCCCTTTCCCCCTTTCATGTCTGGCTTTCAGGTCTCTTACTGCCCTCCAGGTTCTCTGGGTCCCAGCAATTATCCTGTTCTTGCAGCCATATGTATCTCTGTTCGCTTTGACATCTGTACCCCTTCATTCCCCCAGGGACAACACTGTATCTAAAAAGAGCCCAGACTGTGCAAATGAATGTGAGAGGGAGCAAGTGATGACAGCAGGATGAATTCGGGAGGGAGCATGGGGACCTATAAGATGGGGGAGCCACTGCCTGTCTCCCTCTCTCCACAGGAACCTGACCTGGGAAGAGGTGAAAAGCTCGAGGTGGGTACTGGAATCTGGGCCACAACCAGAGGCTCCTGGGTGAACCCAAAATTCCCAACCCAGGACAGTCAACACCCAGGCCAGCAGTGGTGAGAAACTGGGCTGGAAGCTGGGGGCTGGCTCAGATCAAAGCCCCATCCCATATCCAACTGGTCCCACTGTGGAGCCAGATGTCCTCAAAAGGCCAGTGTCCAGATCAGGGGCTCCCTCAGGCCCTCTGGCTCCCCAGTGGGGGAGTCCAGTCCTTCCCCAAGCCCAGTCAACACTCACTCTCCAAAAGGGCAGAGGCCTAGCCTAGGGACTGAATGTCCCTCAGCACAGTTACCTGAGCAGGAAGGGGCGGGGCGGGGCCTGGATGTGACCCAGGATGCGCTGTACCTCCTTCTTCACTGAGCTGGGCACCTGGCCTTCCCCAGCTCCCCCTGGAGCCCTCCCTGAGATGACATCCTGTACCCTATGGTGTGAAGGGAGTGGTGTCAGGCTGGGGCATGGCTAAGGTCCCTCAGGTCACTTCCCTCAGCCCACTTCCCTCAGCCCAGGGCATAGCTTCAGACCTAGGCAAAGCTAACACTCTCGAAGCCAGCCCTCCCAACCACCCCTGCCTAGAGGTGTCATCCCTTTAAGGATCCCAGGAGTGGCAGCCCAACCCCAGTCCCTGCTCCTCACCCAGTGCTTTCCATGACTTTCTGTGAGGCATCCCAGCAGGGGGGTATGTGCTGCTCCAGGGACCACAAGAAATAGCAGAGCCTCCGAACCAGCCAGCCCCGAAACCTGAACACAGCCCCGGAAGCAAGAGGAAGATCTTTCAGAGAGCTTACCTCCCACTAAGGCCCACAGAGGGTAGTGCATCAGGGAGGAATCACACCCAGTCCCATGGCCAGGGAACACCTGAGTTTGGCTTATCACAGAGCAGGATGAGGAAGCACCTGCCCATCTGTGCCCCATTCCCACCCACTCGCCACTGAGTGGGGTACAGGTTCAGGGCCTGACACATAGTGGGCAGCCCATAAATACTAACAGAAGAAAGCACAGGTGTTTCTGCAGTTCCCTGCCTTTCCTGCCTGTGGGTATAGAGCAAAGGGTAGGGGCCCTTCTTTCCCATTGGATGGAGAAAACGACACCACAAGCAGGGGCCTAAGCAGTGCCACACCTCAGGGCCCTGCCCACCCCTGGCTTTGCCTACCTGGTGTTCTCCTCCTTTACCAGGATCACATTGCAGAAGCCCAGATCCATTATGCTTCTGTGGAAGAGGGACTCCTGCCCAAGAGGGGCAGGGATGGCATGTCATTGGGGGCCTTTGCAAACAGCAAAGGAAAGCCCCTGCTCTGCCTTCTGTAGTCTCTGCCTGATGGACTACCGTGTCTACCAGGAAACAGGACTGTACACAGCATTTCCCAAAAGATCCTGATGCTCACTCATGAAAAGGTTCTGCGGTCAAAGCGGAAGGGCTACATTCTCTACAGCACCGCCCCCCTGCAGAGTGGCATATTCAAGCCTCTGAGAAGGTCTCTCGTCTACCGCAGAGAACATTCACGTAGCCTGGATCTCCACCAGAACTGTGGGTTCCATAAGCACCAGCACACGAGGCATGGACCCACACAGTAGGACTTCAAGCCTGTGCTGAGTGCTGGGTGACTCTAAGTGGGCAGGTCCCCCAAATTGAACAACGGGACTGTGCAGGCATGGTCAGATCCTAGCTCTCTGACCACACACTATCCTCTCAGGTGCCTCGGCACTTCCCCACCCAACTCTCCCAGGGCCGCGAGCCAGCCCCAGGCCAACCACACAACCAGTACCAGTGCTTCCATCCCCCTCTAAGACAAGAACAAAGGCATGGGCAGGGAGGGCCAAACCTGGAATGGCATAAGGGAACCACAACCAAGCTACCTCAAGCTCCCCAGGCTGGGGCCCAGCCCTACACTACTCACCCAGCTCTTGGGGGTGCAGGTCTGGCAGCAGCGACCCACAAAGGGGCGATATTTCCCGAGGAATGGGGTGACAGCCTCCAGCTTCATCCCCAAGCCTGAGGTCCACGGGCTAGTCTGGAAAGTGGCCACAGGGAGGGTTGAAAAGACTCAAAGTCCTTGGCAGAAGGAGGGAGGCTCTAAGAGTGAGGTGTACAGGAGAGGAGGGGAGAGGGCAGAAGGTGTTCTGGGAATGGAAGGGGCCATACTACCTCCTGGCCATTCTGGCTACTGCTCTGCTGAGCTCGGAGTCTGGTTCCCAACATGGTGTCCATGGGGGGTTGGGAGGGCTGTAAGATCTGAGAACCAGCCACTTCTGCCTCTCTTCCTCTCACCACAGCAAACTGACCTGGGGAGAGATGGAAGGACAGAGGGGGTACTGGAGTCTGAGCCACAACCTGGAAGTCCTGATGTGACCACCAAATTCCCATCCCTGGGATAGAGAGACGACACCCAGGCCAGCAGTGGTGAGAAACTAGGCTGGAAGCTGACTTAGACCAAAGCCATGCCCTTTACTCCACTGGACCCACCACGGAGCCAGCTGTCCTCAAAAAGTCTCAGAGTCCTGATCGGGGGCAACCTGAGGGTCAACATAACAGAGGCCAGTTGTCTTACATCAGCACCCACCCTGCCATATCCCAGCACAGATGAGGGCTGCACTGGAGAGTCAGACCCTTCTGTGCAGAGGGAAAGAACAAGGCTGGGTTGGCAGGAGGGAGTTATGAGACGGCCAAAGAGGAACAGGACCATGGCGGCAAGACCACCGGGTCCTGCTCAGCTGCTCTTCTCCTCCACACCAGAAGATGGCACTTCACCTACTCAACCATCACCCGAATGTGGACCAGGTACTAGGTGGGGATAGCTGGGGAGTCAGAACACGGAGAAATACCACACAGATCTGTCTCCAAGGAATGCTCTTCTTATTGGAAACAAGACAGATTTTTCTGAAATCCATCCTCCCATATAGCCCTCTAAGTAGACGATCCACTGGGTTGCTCCTCAGCCGCTCCTTCCCATAATACTCCCCTGAACTAACAAATGCCTATTCCATAAAGCAGCACGGAATCCCTCCTGGCCCCGAAATTAGGCCCTAAAAACCCCTCTACCGTGTCCCTGATGGGTAGGCCGGGCCAGTTACTCATGTTATCCCTGCCCCACCACACGCTGCACATGCCCATGCAGATGTGCCTTCTCCCTTCCCACCAAATTCTGTCCATGGCTCTAAGTCCACGATGCTTCCGGATCGCCCTTTAGGACAGGGGTGGGGAATGTCCGGCCCGTGAAATCGTGTGGTCTGGCCTTGCCAAGGCATTAGGGGTGAGTTAATGAAATGTTTGACCAACTACAGCGGGCTAACTTTTAAGCTGATAATTTTGTATGGCCCACGAATGATGTTATAAATATCCAAGTGGCCCTTGGCAGAAAAAAGGTTCCCCACCCCTGCTCTAGGGTTTTCCTCTCCTCCTTGCTGGGCTGGGCGCCTCCTCCAGAGCTGAGTTTCACTTCCTCTCATGGTCTGCCAGTGTCCTGTGGCCAGGGCGGCAGCTGCCTCATCTCTGCCTAGCCGTCTGCCCTGCACAGGCGAGGGACCCAGGAAGTGCGCAATGACTGGCCGTACTTTCCTCTGGGTCCCCCCCGCCCTCCCCAATTAGCACTATTTAAAACCAGGAAGCCAAGTGGTACCAGGGTCACGATTCCTGCAGTGCAGGAGCTCGGGCAGACTCATCCCAAATGCACCTCCTACTTTGAAAATGTTCTCACAGCCCTACGCACAGACACTTGGCACAGGGAGCTCCCAAGCCAGGACTGCAATCTGGGGAACTGCTTGCTTTGCAAGGAGGGTGCCTTCCCCCAGTCCCAGGCCACCTCACTCAGAATCTAAACCCACTAGATCCGTGCTCACCCTGAAGGGGCCAGAAAGAAGAAAAGTCAGGGCCAGGGTAACTCCCACTTGCCAATGGCGGCACCTACTTGGCACACACAATCCAGAGGTCGGTTCTGGGAGATACCCTCCCACCTGGCACCGGAGCCCCCCAAGGGGGGTCTGTGTCCGTCTGCAGCTCCTACTTGGACTCCCCTCCCCAGGCGGCAAGCCGCCATCCCCAGGGCCAAATGCAGTCCACACACCTCCTTGCCGCCACACAATATTCTGAAACATGATGATGAAACTAGAGCTTGTTAGGTTAAAACGCATGGTTTCCGGCTGCTGCGGTGAAGTAAACAGCCCTGAGCCCTGGCCTGGCCTCTGTGGGAGGCAGCGCACAGGCCTCGGCCGGCGGCAACAGGACCGGCCACCACACCTAAGTTTGAAGCCTCCATCAGAGGGTGACATCCCGCTCTGTCCCCTACAAAGAAGCACGGCCTGAACGGACCTCTTCACCCTTAGGCCCCAGCCCTGGCCCTCAGAACCTGGCCCTCGCCAGGCGCACGGCGCGTGCTCCCTGCTCGGCCTGAAGCTGAGGAGAGGGCGCGAGCAGCTCTCTCTCTCTCTCTCTCTCTCTCTCTCTCTCTCTCTCTCTCACACACACACACACACACACACACACACACACACACACACACACACCTGTCTAGGGTGACCATAGGCCAGGCCCAGCGCAGTGGTGTCGCCAGTGTAGCCCTCACACCATGGCGGCGGGAAGCACTCGCGGCTCAGCAGGCCCACAGGGCCACCGCTCCTCCCCCTGCCCCTCCCCCCGCCCCCCAAGGGCGCCCAGGTGGCTCCTGAAGCGGACAGGGCCCCGGACTATCCCAGGCCCGGTCCGACCCGACCCAGCAGCCAATCCAAGGGTCTTACCTCACACCGGCGACCAACTCCCGCCAAAGCCTCAGCCTCACAGAAAGCGGAGGTCGTGGACTGGAGGCTCTGCGCGCCTTCTGGGAGGCAGCTCTGAAAGCCAATGGGAAGGCGCGCTGGGCCCGACGTCCCGCCCCCTCAGCGTGCTGCTTGGCCACGTGACCCGCGCCCAGGGCGGGAGGGGCGGGGCTGACTGTGCCCCTGGCCTGTCACTGAGCGCCTCCCTGCGTGCTGGGCCCCGGAGACATCCGCGAGGCCCCGGGTCCCCACGCTGGGCCCGGAGACATCCGCGAGGCCCTGGGTCCCCACGCTGGGCCCCGGAGACATCCGCGAGGCCCCGGGTCCCCACGCTGGGCCCCGGAGACATCCGCGAGGCCCTGGGTCCCCACGCTGGGCCCCGGAGACATCCGCGAGGCCCCGGGTCCCCACGCTGGGCCCGGAGACATCCGCGAGGCCCGGGGTCCCCACGCTGGGCCCCGGAGACATCCGCGAGGCCCCGGGTCCCCACGCTGGGCCCGGAGACATCCGCGAGGCCCCGGGTCCCCACGCTGGGCCTGGAGACATCCGCGAGGCCCTGGCTCCCCACGCTGGGCCCGGAGACATCCGCGAGGCCCTGGGTCCCCACACTGGGCCCGGAGACATCCGCGAGGCCCTGGGTCCCCACGCTGGGCCCCGGAGACATCCGCGAGGCCCGGGGCCCCCACGCGGGGCCCGGAGACATCCGCGAGGCCCGGGGGCCCCACGCTGGGCCCGGAGACATCCGCGAGGCCCCGGGTCCCCACGCTGGGCCCCGGAGACATCCGCGAGGCCCCGGGTCCCCACGCTGGGCCCGGAGACATCCGCGAGGCCCCGGCTCCCCACGCTGGGCCCGGAGACATCCGCGAGGCCCCGGGTCCCCACGCTGGGCCCGGAGACATCCGCGAGGCCCCGGGTCCCCACGCTGGGCCCGGAGACATCCGCGAGGCCCCGGGTCCCCACGCTGGGCCCGGAGACATCCGCGAGGCCCCGGGTCCCCACGCTGGGCCCGGAGACATCCGCGAGGCCCTGGGTCCCCCAGGGTGGATGAGGACAGCCAGGTTCTAATGACAGAGTTTCCAGGTACACACGCCGCCAAGCTGGAGTTTAGGTTCTAGCAAAATTCCGAGTTGGGGACACTTAGAAAAGACAGAAAGTCACCAGAAACAAGTTTTGGGTCGTGAAAACACAAATCAAGCCTAGCCGGTGTCATTTCCTTTGTTGATTAGAACTCCAGATCATAGTCGGGACAAGCTGCAGTCACGAGCTGCCCGGTTGCAGCTGGCCCTATGACCAGCATGTCTTTATTCCGGTGGTCATTTGATTAATACCTGACTCCTACCTCAGCCTGAAGCTCGGGTGAACGAGCGCTGGCGTCTTCCCGCCGTTCCCAGCACCCGCAGGGGACCAGCAAGCCCTGCGGACTAGGAAAGGGGGTGACTGTGATCTGTTCCCACCCAGCACCTATGTAATGCGCGCACTTCAGATGCCAGAGAGCCCCATGAACGAAGCCACAGCGGGGCCTGGCTGGGCCTGAGAGTCCAAGGCGGGTTCGCATTCCGCCCTCTTCTCTAACACACCACCCTGATGGGACTGCCTCCACCCTTCCTCTCCAGGGTGTAGCCATATTTCCCTTTTTTTGTTCCACTTTGTGTCTGTCTACCCAGGCTGTATATCCATATCCACCCACGTTTGCAATGTCCTTTTAGCACTTGCAGTATCCATTTTTCCCTCCTCTTGTCTTTCTTTGTATCAGAATACACTGCCCACAACTAAACCCCGGGATTCTGAAGCTCCAAAACAAAAACACCTTTATTTTGAAGTCGTAAGTTGCCTCCTAAGAGTACAGACTTGAATTTACCCAATACCTCTTTGCTCTAGGAACTCCATGTATAGAGGCAGTGGGGTTTTGCAGTGGTCAGTAGGGAGATTTGATGCTGAGAAGTCATCTGAAGACAGATGCTTCAGACATGACAGTTGGACAGATTGGGATGGCAGAGACCCGTCTGTCATCTAGTAGAGTTCTGCCTCTGTTATGTTGCTTCTTTGGAAGAAATGTGAGTAATTTTTGTTTGCTGCAATTAGACATTTCAAAAGAAGCATCACCTTTCAGACCTGGATCTGCTATCAAGGAGATCCTAATATATGATGTCAATTCTCCCTAAATTTATCCATAACTTCACTGTAATCCTAATAAAAGTTCCAGCTACATGAACTTATTTTGAAATGTGTGAGGAGGGAGAAAGGCCTACAGGAAACTCCCCCTCCCACCCAGAGATTCAGACATACAATGACATTGTTTTAAAATCCCCAGTATGGTGTTAGTGGAAGAATGGACAACCCACTGGGTCAGTATGGAGACCTCAGAGATGGATCCTGGCTATAGGGGAGTTTAGGTACAATAAAAAAATACATCACAAATCAGTGGGGAAAGAGTTGTTCTTACTGGGGAAACTCTGGCTTTATAGAAAAAAGCCACAATGTAATCCCATACAAGATGGGTGCTGAGAAGGTGGATTAAAAAGTCAAGGTGGCCCTGGCTGGTGTGGCTCAGTGGTAGAGCGTCGGCCTACGGGCCAAAGGGTTGTGAGTGGGTTCGATTCCCGGTCAAGGGCATGTACCTGGGAATGATCCTGGCTCGGGTCCGGGCACGTGAAGGAGACAACCAATCAATGTGTCTCACCTCAATGTTTCTCTTTCTCCCGTTCCCTCCCTCCCACTCTCTCTAAAACTCAATGGAAAAAAATACCCTCAGGCGAGGATTAATAATAGAAAAAAAAGTCAGTCTGAACGGTTAAATTATAACATTGGTAGAAAATAACATGGAGGGGATCATCTTTGAGACCTAGAGGGAGGAAAAGATTTCTTAGACAAACTATCAAAGCACAATTCATCATGCAAAAAAAAAAAAATGGCGGGGGCGGGGGCCCGCTTTATTATGTCAACATAAAAGCTATTTGTTCCAAATGACACATCACAAAATGAAGGAAGATATATGCATAGTCTAAAATTTACAAGATTAGTAGAGCCTCAATATACAAGGAACTCCTACAAATTAACAAGAAAAATAAATGGACAAAGGTTATGAGCAGGCAATTTTTGGAAGAAATACATGAGAAGATGGGCAAAATCATTAGTAGAGAAATGCAGATTATAATAAAATATTTGAACAGACTTTTCTCCAAAGAAGACATACAAATGGCCAATAAGCACATGAAAAAGTGCTCAACATCACTACTAAGTAAGGAAATGAAAAAAACCACAGTGAGGTACCAACTCACACCCATTAGGATGGCTATTGTAAAAACAACAACAACAACAGAAAATAATGTGTTGGTTGAGGATTGGAGAAACTGGAACCCTTGTGCACTGTTGGGAATGTAAAATGGTGCAGCCACAAGAAAAACTATATATCAGTTCCTCAAAAATCTAAGAATAGAATTATCACCTGGCTCAGGAATTCCTCTTTTGGGTATATACCCCCAAAGAATTGAAAGCAGGATCTCAAAGATATATGTGTACTCCCATGTTCATAGCAGCACTATTCACAACAGCCAAAAAATGGATGAAACCCAAGTGTCCACTGACTGATGAATGGTATACAAAATGTGGTAGATCCATACAATGAAATATTATTCAGCCTTAAAAAGGAAGGACATTTTGACACATGCTATAACATTGATGAGCCTTGAGGACATTATGCTAAATGAAATAAGCCAGTCACAGAAACACAAATACTATGAGACATAAAATAATCCAATTCATAAAATAAAATTAAAAAGTAGAATGGTGGTTACCAGGGATGAAGGGAGGGAGAAATGGGAAGTTAGTGTTTAATGGGTACAAAGTTTCAGTTTTGCGAGATGAAGAAGTTCTGGAGATGGATGGTGGTTGTGGCTGCACAGCAGTGTGAATGTACTTACTATCACTGAACTGTACACTTAAAAGTGGTTAAGATGGTAAGTTTTATGTTATGTATATTTTACCACAATTTAAAAAACAAGATATCACATTACACCTATGTGATAGGCAGAATTCTAAGATGAACCCCAGTGCCCATGCCCTTATATAATTATCTCCCTTGAGTAGGCAGGACCTGTAATTTGCTTCTAATCAATAGAATTTAACAAAAGTTATGGGGCACCACCTCTGATTAGGTTACAATTTATGGAAAAGATGACAGGAATTTTCTGATGTAATTAAAACCCTTAATGATTGACCTTAAGTTAATCAAAGAGGAGATGAACCTAGGTGGGCCGCACCTAATCAGGTGAGCCCCTTAAAAAAGGATGTAGAGGTCAGAGACTCTCCTGCTGACCTGGAAGAAGCAAGTCACCTTGAATTTTACAGCCACAGGGAGACAAATTCTGCCAACAACCGGAGGCAGCCTGGAAGTGGCTCTTTCTCTAATCCAGCCTCTGATAACAAGGCAGGCTGGCTGATGCCTTGATTGCAGTTTGAGCAGAGGACCCAGCTACGCTGTGCCAATTCCTGGTCCACAAAAAAAAAAAAAAAAAAAAAAAAAAAAGGAGATAAAAACTGGGTGTTATTTTAAGCTACTCGGTTTGTGGTAACTTGTTACCCAGCAGTAGAGAACTAATGCAATCTGTGAAGCAGGCCAAACTTAGCTGGATAGAGAGAGAGAGGTGTTGGCGTTGGGTGGACATGTGGGGATGCTGGTGACAGCGCTGCTTATGCTAAGGTAGAGCAGTGAGGTCACGGTGGGGGTAGTTAGTCTATAGTACGCATCCCCCACACCCCTGCAATTCCATATCCAGGTAGAGACGCAAACAGAATTGACACAGTTGCATGGGACATGCATTTCACTATGATCACTGCAGAGTTCTTTATGGTGGTGAGGGGGGCAGAGGCTGTTGGAAGCAACCTAGGGGTCCATCTCAGGGCTATTGGGAAGAAGAATGAGAATGGTTCACAGCACGGAGAATGCCGTAGCAGCTAGGAGAGCAACAGGCATGGGCCTTAAAATGATGCTGAGTTAAAAAAAAAAAAAAGTAAGACACAACATGAGAACCAAAATACTACCATTTGCAGAAACAAAAACCAACTAAAGATAATACTCATTTTGCAGGAGCACATACAAGGGGGGAAAGACTTGTTAGCACATTGCCTATGCAGAGGAAGGGATGGGAGAGAGTCCAGAAATGAAAGAATAAAAACACAAGGGAGGAGTCTTATATGGACCAAAGGCAATGTGCAGAGTTTAAGGCGACTGAAGAAGAAAATAAACCCACCCGAGGTCCAGGGGAAGCTGAGGCGCAGCACTGTCCACTCCTCCAGAGGGAAGAGCTCTGTTGGGCAGGTAGAGAAGGAAACCAGGAAAGCCGCTGAGGTGGGAGCAGCAAAGGACAGACTGAGTCTGCCTGATGGTGTCACACCTTTATATTAGTAATGACTTTCAACGTGAGTGACAGCCCAGCTCAAACTGTTTTGTTTTGTTTTAAAGAGTTTTTACTGATTTTTAGAGCAAGATAGATAGACAGAGAGAGAGAGAGAAACATCAATATGGGAGCAACACATTGACTGGCTGCCTCCAGCATGCCCCCCGCCAGGGATCAAGCCCACAACCCAGGCATGTACCAGGAATTGAACCAGCAACTCTTCGGTGCACAGGATGACGCCCAACCGAGCCACACCAGCCAGGGCGTGTTGTGGTTTTATTTAAAAAGCAACAGCCCTGGCCGATTT